CTCTTGGTGTTAGTTTCACGAATCAAAGGGAGCAACCAGCTTTAAAAAGTAGTGTTGTCTTTTACCGCTGACCTTCCCTTGCTTTTTCCTCTTTGGCTTTATATAATATTCATTTATCGACGTTTTTATATTACATCAAATCCACTTCCCAAAGCATGTCGATATAAGCGGATTATACTGTATATTTACAGCCATTCCCCCAGTATTATAATAATAATGTATGGGAAACGCCATCCACATCCTGGTCTCCTAATCTCTGCTAAGCTAGACTGACATGCGGGTGACCCTTGATTCAATTCTCAACAGGATGTTCTCGAACATAGGTTCTCAATTTTTTTTTCCCCTCAATTTCAAGACTGTCCCCTCACTTTACGTATTGGAGATGGACGTAATAAACTCGAATTTATGCCACAAACGAGAAACGAAAAGAAGGAAATGTAAATTTGAAGGCAGACAGTGTTCTGTTAATTTGTACATGTATTGCTTTTGTCATAATGAAATGTGTATTTTTTTACTTGTCACTGTACCAGTTCTCTTTGTTGTAGTTTTTGTATATTTATTTATATATAATAATGTCTAACGATCAGAAACCAAAAAAAACAACAATCGCATGGTGTTTATGTTTTTAGAAATATGAAGAGTGAGTTGCAGTGAAACTCAAATTTTATGGGGGGGGGAGGGGTGTCTTGCATTATACATGTCTGTATCCTGTGCTTCCTTACAGTTTAAACAGTGTGTTTTGACCATGGAACACCATTACATTATTGCAAAATTAAATTGTATTATCATGAATTTGTAGGCTACATGTAGCACAAATTTTTGCTTCGATTGTAAGGTGCATAGTATAGAATTGATGCATGTACATTCAGACTTTTGTTTTATATGACTGTTATACTCGGGGACCGTGGCTAAATTAGCGCTATAGCAAGTTTGTAGATTCATCATTTATAAAACAGATCGTTTTACTACTTACATGTACAGTCAAACCCCATTATATCGCCTACCTTGGGATGAGCCTGAAGTTGGCGGTAGGCCTACAGAGGGGCTGGCTGTATAACGAGATAATACGGATTGCCATCTTGACTAGTGGGAGGTTGGTATAGATTTCAGACAAACTGTTGCCAGTCTTGACTCATCTAGATTTGGCTTGAGCGATTGCCACATTCAAGGGAAAAATGAGTAGCAACCAATTACATTACAGTACAGCTCCAATAGAATTTTAAGTTAAATTCAAACTAAAAATTTCTGCCATACACTTCACTAGGTTATGTGTTATAACTTATTTAAAGGACCCTGTGTGTGTATATATGTAGTTATTAATTTAGTTTAAAAGTATTTTACCAGATAGGCCTACTGCTCAGTCCTCGGGCCGCCTTGGATCTTTCACTTTCACGTAAACTTTAGCACGAGTCCTCATAAGATAAAAATCTTATGGGTGCCTGCCAGCCTTTTGGGTGTCGGACTGATATCTGGTAATGCCAGATATTTTGCTGACCGGCCAAGGTGACGCAGTTCCTTTGAAATTTCTCCAGGCAGTGTAAAAATTTTGTTCCAATTTTTTTTTAAACATTGGCCAAAGCCTTAGCCTTAAATTATTTGCATTTTCATATTCAGCACAAATTAGGAGCAAATTGGCAACAAATGCCAAAAATACTTTAAAACGGCCGAACTCACCGAAACTTATGGTGGGAAGTCGGAAAGAGTGGGCGTATCAAGCAGCCACCAAGTGGGTGCCATGCGCTGTGTGGTACATGTATAGCAGGACAAATTTTACAATAGTTTGACTTGAATATGGACCATACAAATCAGACAGTAGGCGGATGAAGGTGTAAAAGGCGCAGATACTTTATATGGGCTCCTTTTCCTAAATGCAATGGCAAAACCTGGCGGTATAACAGTAACAGAGGGAAGTATAATGAGGTTTGACTGAATCAATATATGAATAATGACTTTTTATCAAGGGATACAGAAAAGTTGTCGAGAAAATCATTTAGTCACAGTAAACCTCAAATTTTTTTCATTGGTTATAAGTTATAAGTTGTCTGTATGTGCTTAGCTTCCCTTGTGCGTTTCAACCAAAGAACACCATCACATTATTGCAAAATTAAATTGCAGGATCATGAATTTGTTCGTCATATATTACTTAGTAAAAAATGTTGCTATAATTGAAAGGTTTATTGATTTAATGATGTAGATTCTGACTTTGTTATAGTTAATGTGACACTTTAATTCAGAGACCCTTGCTAAATAAATGCTATAGTGGCTTTGGAGATTTTG